TGGTATGCAAACTTGATGCTTTTACAAATCCTTTTGGTAACTATAAAATTAATAAATAGAAAAAGTTTTAAAAAATCTTTCGTTAGAATTTAAAAATTAAAATAAATATATTAATATACCTTTTCACTATCTATTTCACAATCGATTTTATCATTCGTTTTATTATTCTAAAAAAAAAAAAATTTAATAATTTCATTAATTTATTTTTAAAAAAAAAATAACTTACTTGATTAGAATTATCAACTAATTTTTGAATAACGAAGGTAAGAATTTTTTTTTATCATTATTTATTTTTATATAATTTCTAATACCTGAAGAAGAAATATGTCCAGATATTGCCATTGCTTCTAACTCTTCGTTTCCAGCATCAAATATAGATTGTATCAATGTATCGTGACTTGAATGGTTGGAAATATTTCAACCATTAATATTAATTCTACAAACAGTACTGTTTGTCATAATATCATAATCCTTTTGAAATCACTAAATTAAAATAAATTAAAAATTAAAAAAAATAATCTATAAATTTAATAACCAAATATTATACTTACTTGATATATTTTATGAAATTCCCAAATAAAATTCTTTAGATTTACTATTTGATAGTCTTAAAGAAATAAATTTACGAATATCTGCATTAGGTTCAGCTTGATTTGGAATATCTTTTAGAAACAGAATTTAGAGAGCATATTGATTTCCTTCAATACCACCTTGATCATTTTTTTGTTTAAATTTTCAAAATATAAATTCTTGATTTGTATCTATAAATTGTGAAACTAATAGATTCTTATGTTCGTCACCACAAGGACAACTAAAGAGATACACCCAAAAAAAAACATGACGAAGAAGATCTTCAGGATTATTTGGAGATAATTCTTTATAATATAAAATAAGTTTTAATTCTTCAGTTGTAATTCCGTCGTAAGATTTTATTGTTCCTATTTCTAATTTTTTCATCTCTTTTAACATTCTATCAAGAGTTGCAAAAATATTAGGAAAATCACTTTTATTCAATAGATTATATTGCCAGTTGGATTTCGCATCACATAGATGTTGACTAATTGAAGCCACAACATTTTTTAAAGAAGATTGTGAATAATAATCGCCTTTTAAAGTATGAACTCCACAAATAAATTCACAAACTTCCTTTTCAAGTTGTGATTTACTTGTAACCGATTCAAGTGTATAATTGTATCCAACATTAACGTGATTTTGCCAAGCATTCATAATTTTAACCCACTTGTTGGTACACTTAATAGTATTTTGAGGAATTCGATTTTTTTGTATTTTTTCCAGTTCGGCTGTAGTTGGTTTAGAATAATTCATGTTTAAAAATAAAAAAAAAAATTAAAAAGCGTTAAATAAAAAAAAAAATCAAAAAGCTTAAAGTAAAAAAAAATGACGTATGCCAGATAAATGAGTCATTCAGCATTCGATACCGAATAACTTCACCACCTAAAGGTGGTTTACGTATCTGGCAACTGATTTGATTGATGATTCTGGGCTCCGAAGGAGCCCAGAATTAACCAATCAAATTGCGTTTGCCCGATACTACAGTTATTCGGCACTGCATGCCGAATAACTAATTAATCTCCATTTGTCCTATTTAAAATATTTTGGATGGATCATGATTTTAACTCGTCACAACCACCATCAAAGAATGTGGAGGGAGAACCCTCGTACCTTATTTTCATTTCTGTATCTTTTGTATTTCTATCTATTTATTATTCTAATTAGAATTTAAACTATGACATAGAAAAGTGGTTTGATGAAAACATTGATCATAAATAAAAATTAAATAAGTAATCCTATATCGAATTTAACCAAGTAATTTGGCTCAATTACATTCGTGAAGGATTATTGGAACAACCTACTTGTCAATCTACCCATGACACTAAACAAACTTGGAATAAAAACTTCAATTTAATTAAAATGATACTATATTACATATAATATACTGTAAAATATAAAAAATAACATTTTTTTAACAATAATATACTAGATTAATTTAAATAAAAAAATTAGATAATAAAAATTTGCGTTGTAACTTGAACACTACCGAAGTTTATCAAATAATAGATCTTTTGGAAGATTTTAAATTCATATTTTGAAACCTAGTACGTAGTCAAAAAAAGATATCAATGAATAATTTTGTAATAAAAATAACAAATGGTATAAAGGATAATAGGTTGTAGAATGTTTTACCTTGAATAAGTTTATTTTTTTGGTTAGGGAAGGCCTTTAAAATTGAGATGTCTACTTGTACATACAGTATTTACTGCGAATGGGTATGCTTGCATTGCATAATATGTCAAAGAAATTTACATCCCATATACTGTACACTTTCTTTAATTTGCCTAGTAAGCGTTGAATATAGATAACTCATAATAACGCCACGTACCTACAATTTACGCGCATTTGATTTTTTCTGTGGTTTAACATCTCAACATTATTGCATAATGAAAATCATTAAATCAGGAAGGTTAATTTGAATTTTGATCGAAGCACATTACATACAGTATATTAATCCTTAAATCCTTATCGTGTGGAACATAGTTATAAGGAGGAATGCCAGATAACACTTCAGATATAAAACCTCAAATGCATATACGTTTTCTTTCTTTGTGTACACCTTTCTGCATAACACTTCGGCGCTACATATTGTTACGGGTTAATTCGGTGAGTCTGTCATTAATGCACAAAACTTCTTAGCGTAAAGTGCAGTTCTGTCGGCGAAATAACAAAAAAGGTAAGTTTCCGGTTGACTTTTGAGGCGTGTTTTGAGACTTGAGCGTCTTTCTTTAATTTCTCTACCGACTAATATAGAAACCTCATAAATGCCAATTCCCTTAGGCAGACCTTGATTCTCAGAAACCAAGATAAGAATTTATTTTTTTTATTTTATTGTTAATTGCCAAGATTGTTCAAATGCTATCGAATGGCGCATATATTTATATATACGTCTATGATTTCCATTTTCTATTTTACTAAACTCTAGAATTTTTTGTTTCTAATTTTTTTCCGCCTAACCTAATTTCTTATCTTAATTTTCCGTAAATCACGTCAACAAAATGACGTAACGTAATGTTGTACAGTACTGTATGCGCCTGTGCCGCAACAATCATTACACTTTTGGCTCGTGTATTTGAAGATTGGTTTGGAAAATCTAAATCTGTTATAATTACAAAGTGCTCCCTTTTTCGATAAAAGAATATTTCTAGTGTGAAAATTTCGATGAAGTAACTCGACTTCATATACATTTATGTTTTAAATAAATTATTAAAACTTGTTATTGCTTCACATTTTGTAAAATTTGGATGGTTTATTTCTGATGCTTCCAAGGTCAATAAATCGCATAAGCTTATTTATTTATTCATGTAAGTGATTTCATAGTAATCGAGATCTATCGACACTACGTTGTAAAGATTCCTTATCTATGCTTGAATAATATTAATACATAATATATATACAGTATTTCAGACAATGAAAATCTACTGAACTTTCTTTTGTATTTCAATAAAGAGTATATCTATCAATCCAATCCGCTAAATGTACTTCACTAAAACCATCTTTGGCAAAAAAAGGCCCACATTCTTGAATTTTGAATACGGAATCCACACGAAAATTCCATATCTACAAGTTATAAATGCATCGATATTATCGTTCCCATTTTTCCAAATATCAAATTCTCGTTGAAAATGAGAGGAATTAAAGTGAGGCACCAATAATCATTTATTGTTTATTACTCTAACTATACTTTTTTCTATAATAACTGAATTAAAATTATAAATTACGAATAATGAAAATATCTTGATTAACATACCTCCTACAATGTAAACATTCAATAAAATTAATTTCATTCCATATAATTTTGTGAAACAACTTCTCGGATTCAACTTACTCCCTATAAAAGTTTACGTTAATATAGTTGAAATTAATTTTATTGATTTTTATAAAAGAAAAAAAAAACACCATAAATTATACTTAATATCTACAATTGCAGATAATAATATAATCAAATCTTATATCATGGGATTTTTACAAGTTAAATAACAATAACGTCCGGATATAACCAACTGCTCGTATATATTTGATTGAATATGATCTCATGTAAATAATTCATCCAAACTTACTATCTGCAAATTAAAATAAAATACTATAGAATAAATGTCATGAAATTTTATTTCATATGCTGGATTTAATTTAACTTAATCCCTATAAAAATTGACGATCAATGCAATTAAATCTCATATGATTATGTATTATTTTATGAACCAAATAAAATTGTTCTGGATTTACTTGCAATAAATAAGAATAGTATTATTTTATAAAATCCTATCCTGAAGTTAACCTATCATCCTGATAGCAAATAATAAAATTGCAAGTAAACTTTATCTAATATGATTTTATGAAACAAATAATAAAAATATTCTGAATTTAACCTACAAACTACAATGGCATAGAGTAAGAATGCCATTAAGCCTCATTTATATAACTTATAAATACAAAGATATTCGGGATTCAACTTACAATATACAATAGGAAATATGACTACTATTAAATATAATTTATATGATTATTAAAACCAGATATTTAAAATATTCTAGAATCTATAATAACAAAAAAAATAATGAAAACATTCCACCAACTGTGAATAGAAAAGAATAAAATATTGGAATTTTTTTTTTACAGATTGCATAAAGTATTAATCCAACAAACGTAATAATTAAACATTGCAAGACTTTTAATAATATTTATAATAACACAATATTTTACCAAATTACGATTCAATCATTTAACAAGCATCAATCTCGTCATTAATAAACTCTAATGATTTTTCAACTTCACCAACCTAAATACTTCATAATCAACAATAGAAAAACAATTTCCACTCGCTAATCTAATTTTCTTTTCGTAAGTGAGGTCCTGATAAGCATAAAAACAATCCCGAGCAAAATCGGATGTAATCGAATACATACATAGGCCTCCGCTGTATCCAAATAATATACCACCCTTGTCTTGTTGAGGAGTAGGTCGATTGTAAAAAGCATATTTCGCATTCTTTACTCGACTAAGAATCGAATTTTGAATGTTTCCGTTTTTTAATGAAAAAATAAAACTATCATCTGTAGTTGCCCAAGTTCCATTAGTTGTTTTATCCCACGTTAAGGGATTATATCCACCAAGAATTTCATCTGTTCCTGATACTTTTAAAATTGTAACCGTGTTTGCACAGTTATGACACATATCCCAAAAAGTTTGAGGACTAAATCCATCACGACTTCCTCTTAAAATTAACTGAAACTTATACGGAATATCCTTTAATGAATAAGGAGTGATTCTTCGATCAACCCACGACGAAATCTCTGCGGCATGATTGTGGTTAATGATTGTTGAGAAAGGTTCTGTTGCCCTTTCTGGCAGATTCGAAACAATTGTTAACCTTGCAGGTAAAATGACAGAAGTGATAGGTTCATTAGGAAATAGAAAACGTTTATTGAGATCTTTCCAGAGTTGTTTGTCAAGAACTTCTTTATAAGGCTCGATATGCTTCCATAAATCTACATGAGAAAACTGAGAATAGCGAATGTACGGTAAACAATTTTGCAAAGTAAACTTTAAAGTTTGGAAGTCTTGTTTGGCCCATTCTTCTGGTCGAGTTGATAAAGTGCTATGCTTAGCAATTCCCCATTGAATAACCTTTTTCCAAATTGCTATTTCATCCATTTGTAGGTCTTCTCTCTTAAGAAGTGAAATCAAAGCATTTTCGTCAAGAGAAATAAAGTCTTCGGCATCGAATATAAGGCTTGGATATTTTACTATAACATCGTTACAGAATTTTTCTAAACTTTCAAAACTCCGATTTTTAAAGATGGAATGATAAACAAATGAGAAATGTGTACGTAACCAAGAAGATTTGTTTTCAATAAGATAAATTTCTAATTGTTGAGATAATTCTTCAAATTCAAGTTCATTAGCAATCATCATTAGACCAAATATAAATTTATTGTCCTTATCTTCTAAATTAACAATTCCTCCGTACATATATCTGCAGAAAGAATATTATTAATTACCTATGTTTTAAATAATAAAAAAAAGTTTTACGTACCTAAGAATCACTTCAATAAATTCAGCAGAAATATTAGGTTTTAGAATAGTCATAGAACTTTTATCAATAACGGTTTTAGCCAGCTCTTCACGGAAGTAGGATGATCGAAATCGTAAAATCGCCGAGTGTGAAGTAAATAATTTTTTATCTTGCTCTTTACCCACTTCAATAGTAACATCGTAACCTTCTTTGTCATCAAGTAGGTCGGTAAAGTCTT